GCATTTCTTACATTACATAAATGCTAACAACAAAATTATTTTGTAAAATCTTTCTACATTGAATTACATTATTAATTAAAACATTATTAGTAAATGAGAGGAAACTTTTTTTTTAATGTTTCTCCTTTTCCTTTAGTTATAACTTCGTTTTCAAAAATGTTATTGGTATAGGTTCACAAGTATACTTACTTAAAATATTGTAGTTAGAGCACCAGAAAATGTGACAACATCAGTAACTGTAAAAACACCAGCAGTAATGAAAACAACAGCAAGTGCTTGTAGCCTTGCAGATGAAACCTACATGATTTGAAGAGTCACTGTAATTGGGTAATAGTGACAGCTCAAACCAGAGCACATGAGACAATTCACACAGTAAATCAGCATCGAGTTCTAGCTTTGTAGGTATATTCATATATGTAAACTAGGCTTAAGAAAATTTTTTGTATTGTTATAACCAACTTCAGGGATATTTTTTAAACAATAGAAATTTCTGATGAAACACTGTACTAAAATTTTAAAGACTGTCATTTTGGTGTCATCCCTTCTAAAAGTGTTGTCTGTACTCCCCTAGTGACAACACTGATCTTAGGCATCATAGCTGTTCTCCAGTTTCCGGAGATCCAGATGGAGTGCATCCCAGGGACCACACAGAGCTTTGTTTAAACACTCACATTAGCAGAAGGATGGGGATCCCACTGAATCATCAGCCCCTGTCAAAAAGCCAAGAGCTGATCAGAATGAAAACAGTTTTTCCCAAAGAGGCAAAATCCCTATTACTAATTAGTAGCAGTGGCATGTGTGTGTGTGTGTGGGGGGGAGGAGGGTGATGGAGAGTAAATCTGTGCCTCCACGGTTTTAAAATAGCAGCAATCTTTTTGCCAATAGTCTGAGCCACATAGAGTGAGTAACTGTGACCCTTTAAGACATTTCATTGTGCTCACGTGTGTGTGAGTCCTGCAGAAATCTTGGAACCCTTCTCTCCCATGTTGGGTCCAGACATTTAGAATGATTAAATTAGAGGGTGATTGTAAACAGGGTCATTGTCATTGCAGACAATGTGGCATTTATGGTATTATGGGCACTGGTTGTCTTCCTAATGAGGTTCAATGACAAGAGTAAGCTGCCTCTTTCATCGTGAACCAACAGGGTGCTCTTTATACAAACAGCAGCATCAGCTGAAAATAGCCCAAACATTTTACTGCTTTCTCTTTCCCAATTTTTGCCTATTCATACCCAAGAATAAAAGGCTCAGCCTGTTCAGCCTTGCCAAAAGGACATCATCTATTGGATTTCCAGTTATCAATAAAGGACAACCATCTATGTTTACCTCATCTGGATGGAGCAGTCATTCATTTTTTTTCACTCAAGAAAACTTTTTTGAACACTTACTATGTGCCAGGCTCTGTGTTAAGTACATGTGCAAAAGACAAAGGCCTAAAGTATGTAGACGCTAAACAAGTCCGAGAGTGACTTCCTCCAAGTCCCTGAAAGAGTTGATTTTGGTATACGCATTTTCCTGACTTCTGGTCCCGTGCTATGACCACAACGCTTTACTAGTAGACCACACTTCCCCAAAGAAATAACTACTTCTGCATGTTGGGGACAGGCTGTTTGCGGCAGCATTTACGTAGGCGGCACAGACAACAGCCTTTCACTTAATGTTGCAACAACAGTAGGCTAACCAATGTGCAGTAACTTCCAAAGTTATTGACCAAATGCTTCGTGTGGCTTGAATCTCAATTCAAGTGCCATACATAGGAAGAGTACAAAATAGCAAGATTGTATCTGCTAAGAAAAACTGGATTTAATTTCAGTTTGGCTTAAAATCAGATTTAGGATTTTACCCTCCTTTTTCACTGTTGGATCCCCAAATAGAAACTGAGCATATAAATAAGCACTAACTACATAAGGTTTGGTTTTACGTGTTCAGACTTGTTCAGAACACAGAATCATAGAGACACACACATCTGTATCAAAGTCATCCTGATCTTTTCGAATGGCAAAGGTAATTTTACATGTTGGTACTGATTTAAATGCCTTTATTTTCAGGCTATGTTGTGTGAGTTCCTTATTTTTTTAAATGTGATTTTTGCAGCTCTGAAATGCATATCATGGTGGATTGAGATGTGAGAATATGTCAGGATGCAATCACAGGTTTGAGATGCTAATGGGGCAGGAGAGGGAGTCTGAGAACATATCATCTAGTACTACTGCTTGTAAGCTGAGTGCTTGCTTCCCTCAATGATGCTTTGGCCATCATGTCATTTCTTAGAGGACAGAGAATCTAGGTCCCATCTTCCTACTGGTGTCTCCTCTCCTGGGACCTGTCCCAATCCCTTGTGTTCTGTAGCACCGTATGCTTACTTTGATTGACTAGGGAGTCTTCTCAATAAGGTTGGCCTATCTAGGAGGGTAGAGGTAGGTCCACCTTATTTATTACAGTAAACACCAGCTCCCAGCACAGTGTGGACCATAGGAGGCTCTAGAATGAGTGAATGAATGAATTAATGGATGGATGAGTAAATGCTTTGCCTTTCTCAGAGGATGCATTTAAGTCCCCAATTCTGTGGGAATAATGGTGCTAGGCAAGACAGGGATTAGCTATTTGGAGAGGACAGGCTCACCCAAAGACCCATTTCCTTTTTTATTGGCAAAGGCAAGATAAATAATACATGAGAGAAATCCTGGCTATAAGGCCTTGACAGTTTTAAGATGTTGGCTTGAGCTGCTTCAAACTTTGAAGGGGAAGTTAATCGAATCATTCTATGTTTTGTCTTAAGTGGTCTTGCGATTCAGTTGTGAATGGAAGACCAGGACAAGCCAGGAGTTCAAAGCCTGACCTACTTTGTTGGAAGCTGATATATAAATATGAGAAATGGATTTGCCTTCCTAGCACTTTTTTTTTCTTCCTTTAAATAACCAAGGACAGTAAAGTAGCTTCATAGAAAACAGAATTAGAAGTATGAAGCCCACAGAGTTGCTTTAGGATTCAGAGCAGCTCCAGAAGTCTGTTTATGAGTTATGTGTTTTTCCTTTTTTCTCTCTCTCTCTCTTTTTTCTAAGTGAGAAAAACAAAACAAAACATAAACACCTAAATTCCCACCGACATAAACCAGTGACATACAATGATGAAATTCTGTTTTCACCTCTGCCTGTGACTGGGAATGCAAAAATAGCAAGTGACCCAGTTCCACGGATCCCCGCCTCCTTGCCCTCCCCGTTAGCGCCGCGTTGGGATCTCTAAGAATGGAGGTTAGTGCACAGCCCCGCGCGAGCCGCGCTCAGCCCCCAACCCGGAGGATGATGTCAGGCTGTTGGGGCGGCCGCAGCCCGGCCCTTGAGGCCGCGGACTCTGGGGAGCGAGTAAGGGCGGGCTGACTGCCCCGCCGACGGCGCGCCCGTTCGCGCGGCGTCGCCTGGAGACGGCCCTGGCGGCGCTGTGTTGCTGTAAACAGCCGCTTCCCTGTTACTATCTATAGCAGGATCGCCTGGCTCCGGGGTGCGGCGGCTGGAGGCAGGTCGGCCGCCAAGCTCTCCGCGCGCCGCGAACTATTCGCCAGTTTCCTAACCCTGCCTCGCCTCTCTCGAGGTGCCCTCCCCTCCCCCCGCGGGCCATGATCCCCAGGGCCCACCGAGAGGTGGCCAGCGCGCTAGGGCCCAGCCAGTGCAGTGTGACCCTGGCTGGCCTGGCAGAAGGGCAGGACCCTAGGGACGTCTGGCGGTGCGGCGCGTTCCAGAGCACCTGACTTTCCCGTAGCCGCTTTTCTCAGGCCACCGAGCCGCGCCTGGGGGTACCCCGTGGCCCGCGGTCTTCGGTCTTGGCGCGCTGCTAGGCATGGTCCTGCTAGCGCTTTCATCCTCCCCACTCCAAGTCCGCGCTGGAAAATCACCCGCTGCGGGTTTCCTGGACAGACTGCCCCTCACCCCTTAACTAACTCGGATTTGAATTCCATAACAGATGCACCCCACCTAGTACGGACGCCCATGCCACCCACCCACTCCTTTTCCCGCGCTCCCGCCCAGCTCAGAACGAGGTCAATGACCCCTTCAGACATCCTTGCATGGGGGTTTTGCACAATGTTTATCGGCTGATGTCTTACGGGTTTGACAGTAAAAGTCTCACACACGGTGGCGAAAAAAAAAAAAAAAATATATATATATATATATATTTATCGACCATATGTAGGAATATCTATCTATATACTGGCTTTTTTTGAAAAACAAAACTGAAATTAAAATAACCGGCGTCGTAGATAAAGTGGGTTATCGTATTCTCTTTATTTTAGATCCCCCGACTTTCTGCTTCTAAACGCAGTTTAGAATTGATTATAGATAGAACCCGGGGGCCAGAGGCCAGGAGGTGAGGGTCTGCTTCCACAATTGCACAGAATTGAGTCTAGAACTGGAAATAAGGGTGGGAACGTATTGCTTCTGAGCCGAGGCTTAAGCCCTTGCGGGGTGGGGGTCTTGTACCTGTTTCTCCTGTACCGGAACCTCAACCTCTGAACTGTCTTGGGGTTCTGAACAGACGCGTCCCCGTCCCCACCCCCACCCCAGGAACAAGGATCCGCATTGACCAAGGTGCGCTCTCATTATCCTCCTTTCCCGCTCCCCTCCCCCGGCGCGGCCCCCGCCTCCCCCCCGCGCTGCACCCTATGTGTTGGCTTCAGCCGGAGAGCAGTTCCCGTCAGTCCCTCCCCACTTACACAGGATGTCCATATTAGGACATCTGCGTCAGCAGGTTTCCACGGCCGTTCCCTGTAGCCGTGGGGGGAGCCGTCTCTGAAGCCTCTCATTTAGGGGGTTACATTAACCCTAAGATCCAGTTACTAAGTACTCACAGGCTTTACTTTTTTTTTTTTTACATATTTAAAAAATACAACAAGATGGAGATCGGGGGATACGAGTTCAACGGAGGCGACGAGGCAGTCACAGTGGCGCCAAGAGCCCAGCGCCACCCCTCCGGCGCTGCGATGGTTTCGTCCATGACGCGAGGACTCATTCATAAAATGCTGTTATAAAAGCCGCGGCTGCGGCGCCTCGTACTCCACCGCATCTGCAACGAGCAGAGGAGAACCGAGACAGAGCCGGCGGCGCAGCTAGCGAGCGAGCGAGCGAGCAGTCCCCGCGCTCCCACCCAGCTCAGCTCCCAGCTCCCACTTGTCTCCACCCTCGGCCCCTTGCCTGCCTTTAGTCCCCACGACCATGATGTTCTCGGGCTTCAACGCTGATTACGAGGCGTCCTCCTCCCGCTGCAGCAGCGCTTCACCTGCCGGAGACAGCCTCTCCTACTACCATTCGCCCGCCGACTCCTTCTCCAGCCTGGGTTCCCCGGTCAATGCGCAGGTAAGACCGCTGCGGGGCACGGGGTCATTGGGGAGGGGACACCCGGGCAGGATGTTCGAGAAGACTCATCGAAGTCTCCCTATCGCTTGGGAGGGAGGTTGTCCCGGTGGGAGCAGCCCTAGCTTGGGAGCCTGGGACTTGTTCCGAGCGCACCCACGTTTGTCATAGTAAAATTTGATTCCTCCTTCCGGGTGGCAGACTCATTCCGTGCAGTCCCGCGCCCGCAATGCATGGTTGGGTCTCTGACATGTGCTGGGACAAATATGTTCCAAGACAAGCCGGCTAGGGCCTGGGTTCTCAGGGGAGGCATCTAAAAGCAGTAATTGGTCTCCCTCCTTCCCCCACCCCAAAGCCTGGAGCCGGGAGGAGGGGCGGGGAAAGAAGGTGCAGCAGGCGGGTGTGTAAGGCAGTTTCATTGATAAAAAGCGAGTTCATTCAGGAGACTCCGGAGCGGCGCCTGCGTCAGCGCAGACGTCAGGGATATTTATAACAAACCCCCTTTCAAGCGAGTGATGCTGAAGGGATAACGCGAACGCAGCAGCAGGATGGAGGCAAAAGGCTCCGCGCTGCGGAATTCTGGGGAGCAAAGGGGAAGACTGAGGACATTTAAGATGGAAATGTTATGCTTTTTGGCCATCTCTTTCCCTGCTGCATGCGGCACTGGGAAGTCAGCGCGACCCACCTGTGTCTGGAACCTGCTAGCTCACGTCCGTTTCCCCCTTTTGTTTCATTCTAGGATTTCTGCACAGATCTGGCTGCCACCAGTGCCAACTTCATCCCCACGGTGACTGCCATCTCAACCAGCCCCGACCTGCAGTGGCTGGTTCAGCCCACCCTCATTTCCTCCGTGGCTCCATCGCAGACTAGAGCCCCCCACCCATATGGAGTGCCCACCCCCTCTGCTGGGGCTTACTCTCGAGCTGGCATAGTGAAGACTACCGCAGGAGGCAGAGCGCAGAGCATTGGCAGGAGGGGCAAAGTAGAACAGGTGAACACGAACTCTTCAGTACCTTCTCTCTGTAAGGGGAATGGGGGTGGGAGGAGGAAGTGAAGAGAGGAGTCAGTGCCGTCTTCTGAAAGGAGAACCTTGGCTTCAAGCCTTTTCCACTCCAAGTCAGTCTCTAGATAGTCCCAGAGTTTTTCCCCCCTATAGTTCTCGATCTCATGCTGTTACACTGCGTTTTTCTGTGTTTTCTTAACGAGGACCTTATTTTAAATGCTACTGACACCCAACCTGCAACTGCAGGTTAGAAATGGCTTAACTGTGGTGTTAAGCTGGGAATTTGCTGGAGCTAGTTTCACTGGGTGGGTGAACGGAGGTGATGGCTGATGTGTTACTGACCGATGATCTTCTGTTATTCTAGTTGTCCCCAGAAGAAGAAGAGAAAAGGAGAATCCGAAGGGAGAGAAATAAGATGGCTGCAGCCAAATGCCGAAACCGAAGGAGGGAGCTGACGGATACACTCCAAGCGGTAGGTATCGCTCATGGGTTCTCCATTGTTTCAACTTCAAGGTGAAAGTTAGAGATTGGGCCTAAGGGAGCAGGGTTCTTGAGTAAGACTGTGTCTTATGCTTTATTTTATTCTTTGTATACAGGAGACAGACCAACTAGAAGATGAGAAATCTGCTCTGCAGACGGAGATTGCCAATCTGCTGAAGGAGAAGGAAAAACTGGAGTTCATCCTGGCAGCTCACCGACCTGCCTGCAAGATCCCTGATGACATGGGTTTCCCAGAAGAGATGTCTGTGGCTTCCCTTGATCTTAGTGGGAGCCTCCAGGAAGCTTCCAGTCCGGAGTCTGAGGAGGCCTTCACCCTACCCCTCCTTAATGACCCTGAGCCCAAGTCAGTGGAGCCTGTCAAGAGCATTGGTAACGTGGAGCTGAAGGCTGAGCCCTTTGATGACTTCCTGTTCCCAGCATCATCCAGACCCAGCGGCTCTGAGACCGCCCGCTCGGTGCCGGACATGGACCTGTCTGGCTCCTTCTATGCAGCAGACTGGGAGCCCTTGCACAGCGGTTCCCTGGGGATGGGGCCCCTGGCCACAGAGATGGAGCCCCTGTGCACCCCCGTGGTCACCTGCACACCTAGCTGCACTACTTATACGTCTTCCTTCGTCTTTACCTACCCTGAGGCTGACTCCTTTCCCAGCTGTGCGGCGGCCCATCGCAAGGGCAGTAGCAGCAATGAGCCCTCTTCTGACTCGCTCAGCTCCCCTACACTGCTGGCCCTGTGAGCAGGCAAGGAAAGGGAGGCAGGGGGCACCCATACATGCCACTGCCTGAGTTGGTGCATTACAGAGAGGAGAAACACGTCTTCCCTTAAAGGTTCCCGTAGACCTAGGGAGGACTTTATCTGTGCGTGAATCACACCAGGCTATGGGCCTCAAGGACTTGAAAGCATCCCACACCTGGACTCGAGTCCTTACCTCTTCCAGAGATGTAGCAAAACGCATGGAGTGTGTATTGTTCCCAGTGACACCTGAGAGCTGGTAGTTAGTAGCATGTTGAGCCAGGCCTGGGTCTGTGTCTCTTTCCTCTTTCACCTTAGTCTTCTCTTAGCATTAACTAATCTGTTGGGTTCATTATTGGAATTAACTTGGTGCTGGATATTTTCAAATTGTATCTAGTGCAGCTGATTTTAACAATAACTACTGTGTTCCTGGCAATAGTGTGTTTTGATTAGAAATGACCAATATTAAACTAAGAAAAGATATGACTTTATTTTCTAGTAGATAGAGCTAAATAGCTATCTATATCCATGTACTGTAGTTTTTCTTCAACATCAATGTTCATTGTAATGTTACTGATCATGCATTGTTGAGGTGGTCTGAATGTTCTGACATTAACAGTTTTCCATGAAAACGTTTTATTGTGTTTTTAATTTATTTATTAAAACGATCTCAGATATTTATATTTTTATTTTATTTTTTTTCTACCTTGAGGTCTTTTGACATGTGGAAAGTGAATCTGAATGAAAAATTTAAGCATTGTTTGCTTATTGTTTCAAAGACATTGTCAATAAAAGCATTTAAGTTGAATGCGACCAACCTGGTGCTCTTTTCATTCTGGAGGTTTTTGTAAGATTCTGAAAGGTATTATTCAAGACCAGTCTTTCCAGAAGGGTTAGGTCCTGGAGGGAGACACGCCCCTTTTTCTGATCCCTTATCAAAGAGGAGAAGGAAACTTGAGAACTGAGTTAGGAATATTTTACAAATACATGTTTTCATATCACGATATTAAGATTTTCTATTTTGGGGGGCAAGAACCTTCTTTGATAATCAAAACCCAACCCAACCGGTCTATTTGACTTCGACCGTAAAGGGTAGAAGTGCCACATAGGGCTTTCTAGTCTGTAAATCTTTACAGAAGGTTTACATTTCTTCCGCATTTTTCTCCTCTGGAGCGGCTGGTGGATTCTAATCATCAACCTTTTGGTTAGAAGCCTAGCCCTTTTACTACTGCCCCACCATAGTCAAAGAGGGCAGGGGGCATATTTAAATCCAGTTGTGCTACTTCATGTTACAGGAATCCTTTCACCAAACAGGAATGAGCTTTGCACAAACCACTTTAACTTTTACCCCCATGAAATCATATAAAGTGTTATATGATTTGTATGATTCTTAACCTTACCAAGGAGCTCTGGTAGCGTAGTTGGTTATGAGTCAGGCTTAATATCAGCAGTTTGAAACTACCTGCTATTCTATGGAAGAAAGGAGGCTTTCTGCTCCAGCCTTGGAAACCCTATATAGAGTTGCTATGAGTTGGAACTGACTCCACAGCACATAACCACCACCACTACCCACCTTTCCACCAAACCCCATCACTGTCGATTCTGACTCAACAGTGACCCTAAAAGATAGAGTAGAACTACCCCATGGCATTTCCAAGGCTGTCAACTGTATAGAAGGTAAAGATGTACCGCATCTTTCTCATGCACAGTAGCTGGTGGGTTCCAACCCGCAACCTTTTGATTAGCAGCCGAGTACTTTAACCACTGCATCACTAGGGTTCTTACTCCCATCTTAAAGGAAATAAAGAATGGTTAGAAAAAATGATTTACACTATTGGGTTTAGAATCTTAACTGCCTTACTCATTTATCTATCACACTTGTGCTATCAATATTTGGTTAAAAAAAAAAAGGTTGCAGCCCTTAACGCTAACATACATATGCTTAGTTGGACTCTTTTTTTCTCATAAGGAAGGAGAGCTGAAATCTTATCCCCCCTCAGCAATCAACATGTGGTGATTTCTGAAGTTTCCTTAACATCATCTACTGGACTTTCAGCTTGCACTGGGGGAAATAAAACCTGGCCCTGAGAATTTGAAAGAGTTCAGAAACAGTGCAAATAATGGCTGATCATTCAGTAAATAAAAAGTTACATAAGAGTTCAATAAGGAGAAGTCAACATGAGTTTGAATAAGCTTTATCGTCTTGAAAGAAGAACATGACCTTTGTCTGGGACACCTCTGGTAATGGGGCACTTACACGCACATGTACAAACCATAAAGAAAGGAGTCGGTGCCCTTCCTGGCCTACACTCAAGGACCATGCAAGCTTGTTCAAAAGCCAGAGACTGTGTTTCCACACATATTTACACATTATGAGGAGTTTTGATGCTGGTCTGGTGATAATAAAAATCAGAGCGTGGTTATGGGGTGTCACACTCACTTCAGTGAAGTTTGCTTCTAAAATGACAGTTCCATGGTAGTTGCTGTCCTCACCTACTTTCTCCCTGCTCCTCACAGAATAAGTGACATCTGAAGGCAATTTACTTCAGGCGCTGATGAGTACTTGTATATTACACACCACTTTCATGGTGGTTTTGCCGGTCTTGCGGTCATAAATAGACTCAGGCTCACTGTTTGCTGTTCAGGTCTGTAGTCTTTTAGTCTGATCTAAACGGGGAGCACAGTGGCTCTGTATGATAAGCACTGGACTGCGAACCACAAGATCAGTGATTTCATCACACCAGCTGCTCCACGGGAGAAAGATGAGGCTTTCTGCTCCCACCAAGATTTTAAAAGTCCTCAGAAACCCAACACAGGGTCCACTATGAGCCAGTATTGACTCAACAGCACTTAACAGTAACAACAACAAAAATGAAATATAGATTTTACATAACCAGACCCAGATCTGAAATAACAAGGTGATAAAAAAAATACCCTCTAGGGAAACCAGCTGGCTTTTTGATAATGAGAACCTGTGAAAGGAAATGTCTCAGGCGGAGAAAGGCAACTGGCCTCTAGCCCTGGACACTGACCTGTTCCTGGGACTAGTGGTCCTGGCAGCCCCACCTCAACCATATAAAGAGCATTGCTTTCTTTTCGACTGACCTCTCCAGGTCATCACAGCCGGACCAGAAACAGGCTGCTCCATCGCCAAGACTGAATGAAAAGAATGGGACATGCACACAGACTCCTTTTAACACACTACTTAGAGGCCATAGGGTCCCCCCTAGAGGTGAGAACCTGCCAAACTCCCTGCCAAGGATCATGATTTTGAATATGACACCACGCAGAGGGTGCATAGGGAACTAACATGCAAAAGCTTTGCTCGGATTCCCCCCAAAAAAGAAATGATGTCATTCCTGAATTATTTGGATAAAAATACAATACTTTCATGCTATCCGGAGAAGAAATTCCTTTCCTTTCCATCCTAAGGGCTTCTTCCAAATGCTTTTTTCCTGACCCAGAATTCAACTTCTCTCATGGATGATTGAATGTCAACTTTCCTTTGGGAAAGACTCAAAGCCTTCCCTGCAAGATCTGGTCTCACACAGCTATCTCAGGTTACCACCATCCAACACAGATACATAGAAATACATGTAATAGAAAGCATGGACTTGAAATTGAGGTAATTTCCTTATAGAAACCATGTGTGATTTAGCTCACCCCCAGACCAACTCAAGGCCTAGCACATGCAATGGCAGGTTTCTCAGTAAGCAAGGTGGTGGTGGTATGCCATGGAGTCGGTTCTGACTCATAGTGACTCTGTATAGGGTTTCTGAGGCTGTAAATCTTTACCAGAGTAGAAAGCCTCATCTTTCTCCCATGGAACAGCTGGTAGTTTTGAACTGCTGACCTTGAGATTAGCAGTCCAAGTTGCAACCACTATGCTACCAGAGCTCCTTAGTAAGCAAGGTAAACCCAGGTTTACTTGTGCTTACTGATCTGTAGTGAACAGTTCATATCTTCTCACCACATCAAAGATTCTGCTTCTAGGTATGGCTGGCATTTGTCTCTCTCCCAATCACACAGCATCTTCCAATAGGATCAAAACCTGTTTTCAAATTACAATCCCTGACAGGGATGGAGTACCCAGGAAGAAATGTAAGCATGGGTTTACTTATGCTTGCATACATAATCTGGAGTGACTAATTTTACATGGATTTAATTGTTCACTACAAATTAGTATGCAAGCACAAAAAAAGCAGATCTTGGTGTGACGTTGTAGGATAAACTCTTGACCACAAGGTCAGTTTGAACCGCAAGATTGGTGGTTCAAACTTACCAGCTATTCCTTGAAAATCCTATACAGGGTCGCTATGGGTCAGAACCGACTTGACGGCACTTAACAACAACTCCTCTTATGCCCATTATCAACCAATAAGGAAGATTGTTGTTAAGTGCCATCGAGTTGGTTCTGACCTATCGCGACCCTGTATAGGATTTTCTGAATGAATGAATGAATTCTTCATGATTTCTACACAATAATATAAAACACGAAAAAGTAAACCTGTTGTCAGGGAGCCAATTGCAACTCATGGCAACCCCTTGTGTGACAGAGTAAAACTGCTTTGTGCGCCACAGCATTTTCAATGGCTGTGATCGCCAGGTCTTTCTTTGGTGGTACCTCTGGGTAGATTCAAGTCACCAAACTTTCAGTTAATAGCTGAGCATAAGCAATCAAATAGCTCACACACTGTCTAACTTCTCTTCTTCCAGGCCCTATTGGGATATTAAGCAATGGGAATTTTACTTTTTTTAAATCTGACCGCAAACATGCACTTCACTTTCATCGTTGGCTCTTGGAATTCCTTCACTACGTCCCCTCAATTACCTCCACCAATGCAGCTTCAAAGTAAATGCATTGCCTTTGTGCTTCTAGATTCTAATGAATTTTAGATGGAAAAAGGATAAAAGACAAAGGAATAAGTATTTCTGTAGGGTAGTGGATTTTAGATTCTGAATTGTCTCTGCACACCACTATATCTTGTATGATGATCAAAATGAAAGGGTAGCATTTAACAATTGGTTCTAATAACAGTAATTTTTTTGGATCAACAGCAACTTCCCATGTGTGAATGAAAGTACATCAATTATACTATCTTTAATTAATGGGGAAAGAAGAGACTGAAGCAAAATAAAAGTGCCCAGGTGATTACTCGGAGGAATCATCTGAGGTTTCAATAGTTTTCAAACCAGAAAATAACTAAAACAACAAACATCAAATCTTTAAACTGTATATGAGATTTCCTCCAAATAGAATCATCAAATCCCTCAAAGATCAGTGAGAAATAAGCATTACTTGCCAGCTGAGTATCAGAGCACTTGTGTGGTGCTGTGAGATAAAGCACTGGACAGCAAGGTTGGTTTAAATCACAAGGTCAGCGGTTCAAACCTGCCAGCTGCTCCTCGGAAACCCTATACAGGGTCGCTATGAGTTGGAACTGACTCTAACATGAACGAGCTGATCCTTGACTCCTTCCCACTTCTATTTCATGTCCTCCTCCCCAACAAGCACTCTACTTTGGACCTTC